CTTTTTTTTTTTTTCCAGAAATGATTTATTCTTCATATAATTTCTTTTTACATATCCGAAAATAAAAGATAATATGCATTTGGTATTAACTTAATGGTCCTCAATTTCCAAAGAGTTTCCAAATCACCTTACGCTTCCTTATTTCTCTGTGTTCTATCCTATTGCTGTCTCTTCATTCTCATCTCCTTTGCATCTCGTATTAGTTTGTGACTTTCTAGTATCTGATTACTAGTTCATTTGTAATTTTTTTTATCGCAGGATGCCCAGAACAAGGTGGCAGCTTTTGCTCTTTGTCACTTGTTTCCCGAAATTCCAGTTAATCTTGCACTTATGGAGCCTTATGCCTCTCTTGTAATGCAGTGGAAGGCAGGTAATAGTTTTCACCTTGCGACTAATTAATTGTCTCTGTTTCCATTCCATTCCCCGGTGCACGAGGAAAAAAAAATATTTATAGAATATTAAAGCTTGATATAAGAGAAAGGAAATAAAGATTAATATCACTAGAAAAATATGAGCATTTTATGATGGTATGACTAGTTTTAAATTGTATTGGCAAAGTATATTTTTAAAATTTTAAGGAGAAACAACTTTCATTTAGAGGCCCAATGTAGCCGAGCCAAAAATCAGGACTATAAACCCAATGTATATGACATTCTATACCTATGTTACCTATAGCAGTGTAAGTATATTTGGTTCTACAACCAGTACAAATGATGCCTTATATTCTGATCTAACAAATATTGAAGTTTCATCTAGTATTTCAAATATTTAGCCCTGTATCATAAACATCTATATGATTTGTTAAACTAGAAGTTCAGGACAACAATATATGTATTTGTGTATAAATCCTTTATCACTAGTGCTTTTTAATCTTTGACAGTGATTTTTCTTCTAAAATTAGATGTTTATGATATTAAGCACAAGTATGCTTGCTTAGAATTTGTAACCTTTCAGGGGAATCAACTAGAAAAGTTGACGACAATGAGGAGGATCGAAGGGCTAGTTTTGTTGATTCTTTGCTTGATGCTTCCAGTGTTGGTTCTTCTGCTTCTAAAACTTTTGTTGGGAAGATTGAACAGCCACATATTGAGGATGATAAAAAACCAACTGTTCTTGATCTTGATTCAGATTCATTCAGAAAAAGTAAGTAGTTCAAACACGTAAGAAATAGTACAAGGTTTTCATTTGAAGTTTTCTTTTATGTTTTAGTTATATGAAAAAGAAAAGTTGATGAAGATGTAAAAAAGATGCAATAGTTAGTTGATAAGGTGTCCTCGAAGTTAAAATATTTAAAAATTATAAGAAATAAATTCATATGAAATTCGTACCAGCAAGTATCAGAGATTGAGTTAATCTATAGATGTAAAAACTTCAGGAGAGAGAGTGGGATACAGTGAGCGTGGATTTCATGAAGTTCTGGGCTCAAAGTTTTGGATACAATGATAATTTAGACTCTGAAGTATTCCTTTCTCCTTCCTGAATGGATGGCCAGCAAAGAAAGCATTAAGGAGGACTTTCACATTAGCATGGACGGGGTCTGCCAGCCAAACTGTAAGAGATGAAAACACGCCCCTCTGATTCAGCGTCTTGCATACACATGATACACTACAACAATTTGGAGTATGGCAGTGTTGAGCAATCTTTTTTGCATAATATCTTGTGTGTTGATGGAGGTGTGGCTGAGCTCCCAGCAAAAGAATTTGATTTCTTTGGTATATTTGTCCCTCCAAATCTTGAGGAGCAAACATTGATTTTCAGACTTGCACACCATGCCTTTGATCATAGACTTCACAGAGAAATTGTTTGTTGGATCAGCCAACCTAATCCAATTGTCTTCCTCGGAGGAGAGCTATTTTGAGAGAGTTTGAGAGAGAGCAATCCAGTCACATATTTCTTCTTCCTTGGGAGGCCTTCTAAATTTGTAAACTTGCGACTGAAAGATTAAAAAGGCTTGGGAAAAGGCTGGCAACGGGCGCTTAACAGCCAATTATCAAGCCTAATGGGTGGGTTTGTCTTGGGAAAAGGCTGGCAATGGGTGCTTAACAGCCAATTATCGAGCCTAATGGGTGACCCATACCCAAATGGGGTGGGCACTAATAGCGCCCCAACCAAACCTTCCATTTCCCCACTCTCACTCGTCAAACCATATTCTTAAATGTTGTTGACCCAAATTCGTCCACCTCAATCCCCCCTTTTGACACCATTCTTGGGTAGGGGATACTCCTTTTAAGGTTAGATATCCCAGCATTTTCAGAATTTCTTCTTTTCCATCCATCTCTGTCTTTGAAGCTTGGGCGGTCTTTCTAGTCTCTCTGTTTTTGCAAGCTTTGTGGAAGAAAGTTTTTCAAGCCTCTGCTCATCCATCATTAGATTTTTCAGTTTGCTTTTAGAGCTTGATGAATGTAGTCTTGGTTTTTTGGTTCTATTATCTTGTATTTTCTACATTCTTGTTCCTAGTGGGTTGTTCTAAATCTTTTTTCGCTTCATTTGGGAGCTCGTATCTTTGAACATTTTTCTTCCTTTTCATATCATCAATGAAAAGTTTTTTTCTTTAAGTTTGTTTCTTAAAAGAAAAAAACAAGTTAGGTTTGATAAACATATGTGCTCCTAGTTGGGTGTGAAGTTGGTGAGTTTCCTTCCTCTTATCTCGGTCTTCCTTTAGGTCGTAACACTTATTTCTAGGAGGATACTTGGGTTGGAGATAAACCTTTGTGCATTGTGTTCCCTCGTCTCTACCATCTTTCTAAAAAGAGGCTTCTTTCGGTGGCTGAGATTATGAGTCCCTAGGGGGGCGGTTTCATCCCTTTCTTTGGGGCTTACTCGTTCTTTGATGGATCGGGAAAGTTCAGAGGTTTCCGCATTACTTGGTATGTTGTTTGAGGTGTACTTCTATTCTGGGAGGGAGGATGTGAGGGTGTGGACCCCCAACCCTTCGAAGGGTTTTTCTTGTAGCTTCTATTTCCATATCTTGAACTCCCCGTCTTCTTCTTCCCCTTTTACCCCTTGGTTTACCTATCTTTTGAAGATTAAAATTTCGAAGAAAATCAAGTTCTTTGGGTGGCAAGTCTTACTTGGGAAAGTCAATACCATGGATTGTATCTAGAGGATGTCTTCCTTTTGTTTGGGCCCGCGGTGGTGTGTTCTCTGTATGTGTGCCTCGGAAGACCTCGAGGTTCACGCAGGATTTATGACTTCGTTTCTTTAGGTGTTTTGGGATGATCTGGGTTCGTACAAGGGATTGTAGGGCGATGATTGAGGGGTGCTGTTATACCTACCTTTTCGTGACAGGAGTCGTTTTTTATGGTACGCTTGTTTTCTGGCTACTTTATGGGGTATTTGGTTGGAGAGAAATAATAGACTGTTCAGGGGGGGATGGAGAAATTTGTGGACTATGTGTGAGAACTCATTAGATTTAATACCTTGCTTTGGGCTCGATTTCTAAGGCCTTTTTTAATTATTCGTTGGGCATCATTCTTTTGGATTGAAGCCCTTTTCTCAAGGCTGTCTTTTTGTAGGCCCTTTTTGTTCATCTTGTCTTTTCATTTTTCTCAATGAAAGCGTGGTTTCTTATTAAAAAAAATAAACATATGTGCTCCAGTTCGAAGAGAGTCCTACTACATGTATGTTATTGTATGTTGATTAGTTGATTTGAATATTATCGAGGCTTATTAGTTTTTTGTCCTTTATTTTAATTTTACATTATATTAGTTTAAAGCTCCCATATACGTGTGTATATGTATAATTCTTGTGAATATAATAATGTTAGAGCGTTTTCTCTCAAACCTATGTCACTAATTTTGACTACATATTCATTTTCATGGTTGGAGTAATCTTCAGTGAAGTATGTTTTTGTTTTCTGCTTTGGATTGCAGGATTAAACATTAACACACAGCCTGAGAGTTCTCGTTTGAGACTGGAACATGAGAATAAAATGAAGACTCAAAAGTATCAGGTTTGTGTATTTATTTTATTCTTTTCCTTTTAAATATATTGTTGGCTGTATGTTTCTTGGTTGACTCTTTACATATATGATAAGAAACAAAAAAAAAAAACAGTTTTTAAAAAAGAGAGGCAAGCCCAAAGACACCACACTTCAATTGGTATTAATAACAAAAATAATCATACCTAGAAATAAATTTTGAAATAATGTTCTAAGAAAAGTTACAACCTTATTTAGATTACAATTATCTTCTCAAACCACAACTTTGTTTTGAAAATTCAATTATTCCTTTCCATCAAAGTATTCTTATGGCTCTATTGAGGGCCTCAATCCAATTTGCAAACCTGCCATTATAAATGCCTCCCAATTATAACAAATCATGCTAGGAGAATAATTAGTGAATAAATTAGAAACAGCACACCATTGAGAAGCCTGAACTTGAAGTACCGACTTCTTTTTCCTTCGAACACCCTTTGGTTTCTTTCAAACCGAAGCTCGTATACCAAAGCTTTCACACCATTAACCCAAAGTAGACTGGATTGTGAAGGCAAGCGCAGCCCAAAGAGCAACTGGGGTACATTCTTAGGAACTTGAATCATAAACCCAAGACAAATTGAAGAGTTGCAACAAAGAAACCCAACAGCAAGCAGGATATTGGAAAAGAAAAAACACATGCATCTGTTTTTCACTCTAAGCTTCACAAAAAAAAAAAAACATATAGATGGCAGAAGAGACATATGAGGAAGATTTTTTTGAAGAACTTCCGCTGTCTTTTGTTGAGAAGAATCCATAAAAGAACATTAACCTTCTTTTGACTTCCTGAATTCCAAAGCTTTGCACATTAGTTTTTTGGCAACAAGGAAGAAAAATCATTTGGCTTTCTTAAGGAACTTACCAAAAAGACCCCTGAAGGGTCTAAACTCCACCTTACACCTATACAAATTCATATCTAAACTTCCAAACAGAGAGCAATAATTTACTGTATTTTCTAATTGAAAAAAAATAATAAAAATCTAGAAGTATAAAAGAAGTCATTATCAATATCCATTTTTGCTCATTGATTTTCTCAAATGTTTTCCTCAATGCCTTTTCATATAGGCGATGTTGAAAAATAGAGATGCCCTCCCCATTGCTTCATTAAGAGGTGATATATTGCGTCTGCTGAAGGAGAATAATGTACTTGTTGTTTGCGGGGATACAGGTTCTGGAAAGACAACTCAGGTTCTTATTTATTTTCAAGTGCAATCGATGCAATATTAATTCCTTTTTTGGAAAAAAGAAAAAGAAAAAACAAATGAATAGGTGATTTCACCAATACTTAGTTTCACATTTTTCTTTGAATGTGCTCTACTTGGCTGGTATTGTTTAACTTTTTTTCTTTTTAGGGAAAAATATACTTTTAGTCCCTGAGGTTTAAGGTAGGTGTCTATTTGGTCCCTCAAGTTTTAAAGTAGACATTTTTAGTCCCTGATGTTTGGAATAACTGTTCATTTGGTCCCTCAAGTTTTAAAATGAACACTTTTAGTCCTTTAAATTTGAAAAATAGTCCTAAAAAATATAGTTCTAAATGGTCCTTAAATTACTTTTAGTTGACTAATGTTGTAATGACGTGGCGCTGATTGGACAAAAAATATTAATTTTATAAAAATTATCTTGGACTTTTCTCATTTGTTTTATAAAAATTATCCCCAAATTTTCTCTCTTCCTATCATCCCCTTCTTCAAACTGCTCTCCCTACAAATCAAATCTGTCTTCTTCTTCCTCAATTCTCTCCTCCAATTTACACACCCAATTTTCAATTTCCCCCAAATTCTTTCTGTACTCATGCCTTCTGACGCCAGCGACCATCGCAAGAGCACTCATCTTACCCGCGTTGTGATTCCACTAATACTAAATTTTGTTACTACAATAACTATAATTTCTCTAGACTAGGCACCTCTATAAGTCCTGTAGGCGTCAGTGCTCTCTGGCGACCTTCACCGGTGGTTGGCAGCACTCGATGGTGAGCCTCGCCTTGAGATGAAGGAGAAAGAAGGAAGTGAAAAGGTAGTGATAATTTAAAAAATAAATAAATAAACGAGGGAAGTCAGTCATAATAAAATATATTATTAAATTAATATTTTTTTGTCCAATCAGCGCCACGTCATTTCAACATAAGTCAACTAAAAGTAATATAAGGACCATTTAGAACTATTTTTCAAACTTAAGGGACTAAAAGTGTTCATTCTAAAATTTCAGGGACCAAATGAACATCTATTCCGAACGTCAAGAACTAAAAATGTCTACTTTAGAACTTGAGAGACCAAATAGACACCTATCTTAAACATCAGGGACCAAAAGTGTATTTTTCCCTTCTTTTTAATATTTGTGAGAGTCTGGGCTAGCTTGCACACGCTTTAATTTTTTTTTTTCCTTAATATCAGCTTGGCTGGTATTGTTTATCACATGTGAAATGTTTCTCTTTCTATTCTTCCACTTTTTTGCCTCTTGAAGATTTCTCGAACAATTGTTTTATGTAGGTTCCACAGTTTATACTAGATGACATGATTGAATCGGGACATGGTGGATGGTGCAACATAGTATGCACACAACCAAGAAGAATAGCGGTAGATGCAAATTATTCATTTGGATCTATATGGTTGTGAGATTGAAATTTTGACCTTTATTCCTATTTTCCTGCTAATCATATTGTCCATGGTGATGTATACTGGTTGAAATTTAATATCTGAACTCTAGAAGGATGTAAGATTAATCATAACATATATTGTGTGTGATATTTTCTATCGTTTATAGTATCAGGAGTAATTATTTCCATCTCATATGGAATGATATATATGCCATGCATGACTATATTCTAGTTCAGTTTATTTTCCAAATGACAGGGAGATCATCTACATTTGTAGGAGGATTTTTCTTTATAACATGATACAGACTCTTCAATTGAAGAGTTTTATAGGTTTCTTAGAAGACTCAAATACTTTTTGCTTCTTTTTTTTCTTTCCCTTTTGATTTTATTAAGGATTTTAAATACATTAGTTAACTAGTGAGGGGAAAATGTCAAATTATAGCTGGGTCAAATTTCAGTTTAGCTCTCCTTACTATATGTGATGCACTTATGGTTGGTTTTTCTTCCTCATATTTACTTATAGCCTGTCCTTGCTTGTCAACCATGTTAGGATTTTGATATTGCAAGCATGCTGGGACCATTTTTCTTTTTCCTCCAAGCATGGAAGGGTCTTTTGATTGCTAGTTTTACATTTCTTCGTGGTACTTTGAAAATCTTAACTTTTGTGTCCAACATTATGATGCTAATCTTGTAGGCTATTTCTGTTGCCGAAAGAGTTTCTGATGAACGTAGTGAGCCTTCCCCGGGTACAAATGGCTCTTTGGTTGGTTATCATGTTCGTCTAGACAGTGCAAGGTGTCCATATGCTTTCATAAACTTGTGGATTCTTTAAGTTTACATAATTTCTACTTTATCTAAGCCCTTAATGTGGCTATAGCATTTCATACAATATCGATAATTTCTTTTGCCCTCATTTATAGTTTTCGCCATTGACATTATCTTTTGTTGAAATTAATCAATAGATTTTTTTCTAGAAATAGAAACAAAAGCATACTTTCAAAATAACTGTTCAAGATAAAAATAAAAAAATAATAAAGAAAAACTATTAGAGAAATAGTATTAGTACATGGGGGCCATTTGTAATGAAGGGATGAGAATGGGAATGGGAATAGGCGTGGGGAAGGGTGATATATTTCCTCATGTGGAATAAGATTTAAGTTTGGGTTTGAGAATAAATCATTCTCATGCACCTTTTATACACCTGACCAGGGTGTTCTTTACCCTTTCAAAATGTGTTTTCTCCGTGTCTCCTTTTTTTGGACATATTTATTTTCCTTCCAAAAGTGTGTGGGTTTTGCGCTATTGGGATCCCATATAAAAGTGTAAAAAACGTCCTTATCTGAAAAGGTAGGTGAATCATGTTGGTTTACATGGTTCTTACTTTTCCTTTGTATTACCTCTCCATCTTCTTTATACTCTCAAAATTAGCAAGTTCATATGAATTCCCTGATCTTCAAATCCTAGAACGCTCCTTCAATATGAACCCACCGTAAGGGTGAGTTAGATGTAGGATTGTCTTAGATCAAAGATCAAGAGGCAAGAAAATGAGCTTCTTGATACAAAATTTGCGAACACTCTATAAGAAGGTTGATCAAGCCTACTCGAGTGTTCTAGACATGCAACTCAAATAACATGAAATTGTGAAGTAGTGGAACTCTGGGCTACTAAAAGTGCAAGGCGTAACTTTTCATTAATCATAATTTGTCTACATGAAGGGAAATGGGCTTTATATAGCCTCCAAAAGTATCCTAACCCTAGAAAGAATTTCAAAAGAACTAAAGCTTCTAATAACCAAAGGAACTAGGTGGCCACCAAGTAGGATAATTCAATGTCATGTCACTTTAATATTTTGTTCCTCGATTTTATCTAATTTCCTCACATCAATTAGTGTTTTTTTTTATATTTATTATTATTATCTACTTTTTGTTGTAGGAATGAACATACAAAACTTCTATTTTGTACGACGGGCATCCTTCTGAGACAAATTGTGGTCAGGCTATCTTATTTCTTTATTCACAATGACATACTATTTTTTTTTTTTTAAACAAGAAACAAATTTTCATTGATAAATGAAAGAAGAAAAAGTCTAAGGATACAATCTCCCGAAGGAGAGAGAAAAAGAGAAAAGAAAACAAAATAGAACAGAGGTCCAACTAGGAGCTATATATGAACAATAAAAGCCAATAAGACCAAGCTAACTACTAGCAACACAATCCATCAAGATGCAATGATCTTTAACTTTAAGAATCTTTAGCCTCAGGCTCGCCAGCAACTCCACCGACGTCTTTAACATCTGGAAAAAAGATATTGAGATCTTGAGAGAATTTGCATTAAATTTCAGCTTTTACTCTTTCCCAATCAGCTTGAATCTCCAACACTCTTCTATAGTGCTCTTCTAACATCGACTCCCGTTCTTTGCGAAGCTCGACAAGCTTGGAATCAAGAAAGACTAAGTATGGGTCTAATTTCGAAGGGGAGATGTATTTGAGGGTAGCAACTATGAATGTTTTAGACCACATGGTAAAATTGGGAAACAAATTAAATATTTGTTTTCTTCTACTCAAGCGACAATATCTTTAAATTTCCCATGTTTAATGAAAATATTCAAATAAAAGTAATTAAGACTAAATTTGGTATATTTGAGAGCTTGAGATTGATGAGAGTTGAGATGGATGGGTTGGGAATGAGTGGAGTTGTGGGTGAAAGTAATGTTCCGAACTAACATGTCACCACGAAGTTTAGAAATCTATTTGAAAGTTTGAGAGTGATAAGAGTTCTGATGAAATTCATGACAAGGACCCATTAGACACAATTGAGAATTTAGAAGATCTATTTTAAATCCATGGCAAGTCCACGTCTTCTTCTTCTGCCCCTTTGCAACCAAGTGTTGGGAGAGTTTACTTCTCCTTTTCAACTTATCATGGGTTTTCTCAAGTTCGATAAAAGAAAATGTCATGCAGCTTCTGTTTGGGCCTTTTATTCCTCCAACAGCTCGACTATTATGCGCAAATGCGATTGAAGCTATACTTTCGGAAATTTAGTTGGAAAGAAACCAAAGAATCTTTGAAGACAAGAGAAGGGATTGACTTGAGTGTTTTGAATTAGCTATGTTCAAAGTATCTCGATGGTGTTCGATTTCTCATCTTTTTTTTTTTCATTTTTTTAAGGACTACTCTGTTAGCACTATTTGTTCTTCATAGGAAGCTTTTGTTTTTAGATAGTCTTACTGTTGTTATCTTTTAAGCACTTTTGTAATTTTTCAATAAGCAATGAAAAGTTGGTTTCTTGTTAGAAAGAAAAAAAAAGACTTATTAAAAGTCTTTTAACGTATGAAGCCTTATTAAACACAATCTTGAAAGTTCAAGGACCAAACTTATTATTTAACCGAAAATATAAGATCATTTTTGCTGGTCATTTTGGTTATTAATAAAGATATTTGAGTATCATTGTAATTTGTATAATTATTATCTATTTTTTAAAGTTTTTATGCTACCAAGTATAATTATAATTTTTTGAGTTGCAGGGAGATGAAACTTTGACCGGTATCACTCATATCATCGTTGATGAAGTACATGAGCGATCTCTGCTGGTGAGTTGGTATTGGCTCTAGTCTTGTTTATCTATTGACTTATTTGATTACCAAGACATAATTGATTCAGACCGTAATTTCTTGGTGTTCATGCAGGGATGTTTCTTTTTTTATGGAGTGATATGTTTTTCCTGATGTATATTTTGTTCCATTCATTTATTCTAAGTAGATTTAGAGAGATTTTAAACCTTCACTTAGTGGTGCTTCATCAGTTCTCTTACTCTAACGAAGTCTCGACTTTTCATGATTGCATCATGGCATGAAAGAACCAGCAATTTTCTGAGTGTGATAATGATGAACCTAGCCTACAAGATTATTCAAGAAATTCTTTATTCAATATCAAACAAAATTGGAGATTGATAGATTTTGTAATTTTACATCAAAAAAAACTAGATTTTGTCAGCTAACCAACAATTGTCTTAACTCATTAACAAAGCTGTAGACTACTCAGCAAAGAACCAATAATAACTAACATTTTTAAAATCAGACTACTCAAATTACTAAAATACAAAGATCCATTTTCACTCAATCAAGTCTTCCCCTTACAAGGTACTTGTCCTTGAGTTCAAGATGCAATCCAGAACCTCTAGCAAAGACCTTGTGTTTTGGGTGAAATTCTGAATTTGGGTGGGTTGTGCTCAAGATGTCAAATTCATGTTTATTCCATGGATTTTTAAGCCTGAGGTTTTTTGGACAAACCCATGAATTCAACAGTGACCTAATATAATGCTCTAAATTCCACCTCCTCACACAACTTTTCTTAGCAGGACTTCATAAACCTACACTTCAAACACAGGTTTCTTAAACTCTGAGTTTCAACAGTACCCCTTATATACTATTCTAAATCCCACTCCCTCACACAATTTTTCTTAGCCTGGACTTCCTAAACCTACACTTGAAACATGGATTTCTTAAACCCATACTTAGTAAACCCTCTTCTTAAACCCCTAGGCTTAACATCCCCAAGCTTAAATATTGAACATGCATCCTAAATGCCCCCTAGGAATTCTGGAAAGAGAGAAACACAAGGATTTTTGAGAAAAGCCTAAGGATCTTATGAAATTAGAGGATTGGTGTCTTATTTTCCCCTGCCTCTTTCTTTATTTGGGTCCTTATACTGAATGAAAGTTCTGTCTCTTGTCTAAAAAGCATGGATTTCTAGTATCGAATCTTGGAAGATAAAACAATAGTTGACATGATACTTCATTTTCTACAGGGTGATTTTCTCTTAGTTGTTTTGAAGAATCTGATTGAGAAACGTTCTACTGACAGTTCATCCCCCCTGAAGGTTATTCTTATGTATGTTTGCACATTTTATATCTAGTCTGCTATTTTTTTTTATAATTATTTCTCTAGTCTGCTAATTAGTTATGGATAGAAAATACAAGTTTGTGATATCTAGAGCTTCAGTATTGCTCTTCAATTTTTAATCCTTTTGATTCTCAGGTCAGCAACAGTTGATTCAAACCTTTTCTCAGGATATTTTGGCAACTGCCCTGTAATCACTGCAGAGGGTCGGATGCATCCCGTGACCACTTACTTTCTTGAAGATATCTATGAAAGTACTGGGTATCACCTTGCTTCAGATTCCGCTTCTGCCATAAGATATGAAATATCAAGCGGCAAAAAGGTATTTAGAAACATGGTTCCTCTACTATTAGGACAGTACCACAGTTTTTTCTTTACAACACTAATTTCTGCAAACCTGGCATCAGGAGTACCTATTGAGTCCTGATGAAATTATTTGTTCTTTTTTTATTTCAAAATATACTTTTGGTCCTAAATATTCCTACATGGAATAATTCCTCCCCAAGTCTACATATCATGGGTGTTTCCTAGGGAAATTTTAATAGATTACTTTATTTTCTAAAATATTTGCATGTATTTTTATAAAATAATTATGATTAAAGTATCTTTCTAAAAAAATAATTGGAAATATACATTTAAAAAAAACTTATTAATTATCAATTCATTTTTTTTACGGAAGTATCAATTCATTTTAACAATGGTAATCAGTATATTTTATTATGTGGTAGACATCTTCCATATTATCTGCTCCAGATTGCTAACTGTTTATATCAAATGATGACCATAAGCACTTCTATCGTATTGTGTCATCAGAGGAATGTACCATCATAGCTCCTCCCACACCTTGACATCAACCGCTTGTTTATTTTAAGGGATGTTAACCTCTTGATTCAAATCAGACTTTTACTACATTATGGCATGTAAAACCCCCGTTACTGATGTAACTACCCATTTGCCTATTGTAAACTATCTTGATTACCATGATTTAAATTTCTAACCCTTGTATCATAAAAATCTTCAGGGTGCTCCAGTCAATGATCGAAGAGGAAAGAAAAACCTTATATTATCTGCATGGGGTGATGATGCTTTACTTTCTGAAGCCTGTACGAATCCCTACTACATTTCAGATTTTTATCAATCATACAGTGAGGAGACACAGAAAAATCTGGTAATTTCCTTTGACATGAAGTATTCATAGCATATTTGTCTCCGGTTCCACTTTTGAATTCAGTGATAAAAGATCCAATTATTTTGTTCTGCAGGAACGATTAAATGAACATGTTATTGATTATGATCTTCTCGAAGATTTAGTGATACATGTGGATAAAACTTTTGATGAGGGAGCCATACTTGTTTTCTTGCCAGTAAGTTATTGTTAACTGTATATTTTATTTTTCACTTAAAGAATTAGTTACCTCACTATTGCGCACTACAGGGAGTGTCAGAAATTCACTTGTTGTATGATAGATTAGCTGCTTCATACCAATTTGGTGGACAAGCTTCTGATTGGATTCTTCCTTTGCATTCATCCATTGCATCTACTGATCAGAAAAAGGTGTTTTTAAGGCCTCCTTATGGCATCCGCAAGGCAAGTTTTGTAACATGCAGGAGCCTACTTCTACATACTTTGTTTTTTTATTTTGTTCAAGACGGTTCATTGCTCTATTTTGTAAGCATCCTATCAAGTGAAGGACCTAAAGTTCACTTGGTCGTGGCCTATGAAATTCTACTGTGACAATGTTGAACAATCAATAATATTCATGATTTTTTGCGACTTAACTGCATTAAACACGGACTACAGATAAAAACATTGTCATTAAATTTACACCTTTCTGCATTGCTATTTGAGAGAGAGAGTTGATGGACTCCCACTAATCATTAAGAGCTGATATCTTCTCTAGAAGTCTAAATGGTTCGATGTGAATGGAAAAACATCCATTCACCAGCTTGATGATACTGACACACTTCCCTCTCCTCACTTCCACTCAAGTCTTATAAGAGGGAAGTGTTTCATTCCTGCTGCTTCGACCATGTCGGTCGAGACCAACCAACTCATGTCAGTTTGATTGGTTTGTCAAAATTTTATATACACCCCTAGTTTTTTGTTTATTTGTATATATACACACTAAAGTCTTATATTATTTTAGACTTCTTGGAAGACTGTCATCATCCTCGAGTAGTATGGCCCTTTTTTTTATATATCCGTGAATGTCCGGTCCAGCTTATGCGCACCTCGAATAATCTCACGGGGCAACCGCCTGACCCTACAACATTTTGTATCGGGAAACAAGTAGGAATTACTAATTCCTAAGGTAGGTGGCCATCATGGGTTTAAACCCATTCCCTCTTAATTAACCCTAGTCCCCTTGGACCAAAGAGTCACCCATGAATCATGATGGTTGTAGTATGACTCTTTTTGCTTGTATCTTTCAACAGGATCTCTGATTTATTAATACAATTTTGTATTTGTTAGGACGACGGGATAAATTTATAAAAAGATCAAGAAAAGTAAGACTACCAATGATAGTCAAGGGAGAATGTTACAACATTAATATGGAATATATTAGAGTGTAACTAGAGTATTAGTAATGGCATAATTGTAATTGCTTGGCGAGTTGGTTGGAGGGCTGGTTATAAACAGAGGGAGTTAGGGAATGTGGAGGATAGAAACACAAAATCCTTTATCCGTGAGCGGCAGCTAGGGAAAACAAACTCCTTTATCTGTGAGCAGCAGCTAGGGTTTCTAGAGATGACTAGGGAATTTTTTTTTTTCCGTCTTTGATACCATCTTAATTTTGAGAGAATAAAAATATTCAGCAATATTCAAATATGTACAACTAGGGCTCCTATATACTTATATAGGAGAAAGACTCTTACAATCTAAGGAAAAAACTAGACAATAAAGACTAAATATTAAGAACTAATATTAACACATAAATACATAATTTTGGAGAATAGTCCAGTTTACGACTTGGAGAGAGATAGTCCAGTATGCGACTTGGAGAGAGATGACCCTCTCAAAATGTTATTGATATTGTAATTTCTCATTTGATATTGCAATATAGTTACATTGATCAACTTAACTAGATTGACAGCCAAATACCCATTGCATGTTGAAACAATGAAAGAGAGAATGCCAAATTTCTTCAAAGATCCGTTGATTTCTTTCAAACCAGATTTCTGATGGAGTAGCTTTAACCAGATTGATTTGAATCAACTTAGCTTTTAGAGGAAGGATAGGACCACATAAAAGCTGAAAAATATTCTTTTGGACATAGTTGTCAAATACCCATTGCATGTTGAAACAATGAAACAGAGAATGCCAGCAAAAATGAGTATAGGGGAAATGATAGAAAATCTGAATTTGATCTTCACTGGCAATACAACACAATGAGCACATCGAAGGAAGCAATGCCATGGAAGGAATATTAGTAATTTAGTAGTAAAATGTCCACAGAAGCTGAATCTATTTGTTCAGTTTTGCTTATTCTTGTACTTTTGAACTTGGTTTGACCCACCTTTTCTTCTGCTCTTTAATGCTTTCATGTATGGTGTTTATGTTGATGATTATGAAATATTTTTGGAATTCAGGTTATAATAGCCACGAACATTGCAGAGACCAGTATAACAATTGATGATGTGGTTTATGTGATAGACTGTGGAAGGCATAAAGAGAACCGTTACAATCCTCAGAAGGTCTATTCTTCCTGTATTACCATAACCATTTTTACAATTGGATGGAGGTCGCATGCCCCCTATAATATATTCATAAATTTTTGCCTGCAGTTGCCATTTTCAGAAATTATGATTTTGTTAATTTGAGAGAGTAAAAAATATACTCCATGATTCAAACGAGTAACTTAGGTCTTCTTATATAGGAGAATGACCTACTACAAACAAGGAAAGTAATAAACACCATAAAGACTGAATATCAACAATAAAGACTAAATATTGACAACTAATATTGACA